TCTCTCTCTCTCTCTCTCTCTCTCTCTCTCTCTCTCTCTCTCTCTCTCTCTCTCTCTCTCTCTCTCTCTCTCTCTCTCTCTCTCTCTCCTGCCTTCGATCGTGCCCTGGATATACCCGCTCAGATCAGACTCAGACCTTGGCGGGTATGGCCGCTCTGCTTCCCTATGACTACCTTAGCTGTGGTTGACGTTGACACTCCCTTCCCCTGCGAGCGCAGTCTTGCCTAAGTCCCTTGGTTACACAAGCAGCAGCAGCGCTTCCGCAACTTCACGAATGAACAACTTATGAACCACCGCACTGTAGCAGCTAAATATAGGACTTGTCAATGCTTCACCTGCTTCAGACCGGTACCGGTCAGCAACGGCCTGTCTGTTGCAATCATTTTGTCGGTCCGGTAACTTCCGGACTTTCCTGGGGCTTGCTGCAATTTTGTGGAGCTGGGACTGGACTGGACTGGACTGACCCTGGACTTGGACTTTTCCTTCGGGTACCGGAATATTCTACAACGGCCCAACTTTTCCTAATGTTGGCCGGACGCTTCCACCTATGGCGCCTCAAACTGGCCTATTGGGCCTACCCTACACCGGGACTTCGGACTTCGGGATTTTTGTGTCGGGCTTTCGGTGTCTGCAGCGTGAAATCCTTTCACTCCCAGTGGCCTAATTTCGAGGTCCTCCAAGAAAAATACAATCTTTACCTATCTGTGACGTTGATCCCTTTCCTCGCTCTTTCATAATAGGAAACGATATCTGGCGCAGTTTCTACAAGTTCATCCCTTGTAAAGCAGCGATCTTCTTCGGGCTCTTGGTGCACAAATCTGACTTTGTATTGTCGCTGGGCCATCCCCTTCGTCCTGATCGGTAGACATCTTCAGCTACGGTTCTGTCAATATCATACCTACCATCCATATCAGGTGGGATCATTGACCTTCATGACGGGAACTCGTCAGTGGTCGTGTAGGGAAGTAACTTGGACGCATGGGAAACGGCATAAGTGTGCAGATGTGGTGGAATCTCTATGGTGTAGGAGGGACCATCCGCATCCCCAATAGACACTGAGAACTTGCCAAGGTCGTCTATAAGCTGGAAACAACTTCTGTGATATTCCTTCTTCGGGGAGGAACTCCTTGGACTTGACCCAGACTAAGTAACCTACACCGAACTGCGACGGCCTGTGGTGCTTGTTCGCTTGCTCTATCATCTGGTGCTGGGGCTTCCTGGTATTCTCAGTCACTCGTTTTAAGTCTTTCTCATATTGGATAGTAAACTCCCGTGCACCGGGTGGCAACCTCTGAACCTGATCCTGGTTTAGACAGTCTATAGTCCACCTATGATGCCATCCTCTGTGCAGCTTGTTCGGCGTCTGGGATGTAGCTAAGTGCACCGAGTTGTTGTACGCACTTGCATCCCAATCCTCCTGGTCTGGTCTAATGTACATCTGTGGCACTTGCTGCAGCAGCTTGTTCATCTGTTCAGTCTGGCCGTTAGTCTCGGGGTGTCGACCTGACGACATAGTCCACTTAGACCCGTAGACTTTCATCAGTTGCTGCTAGTGCTTACAGTTGCTGCTAGTGCTTACCTGTAAACCTATAGTGTCACGATCACTAACTATGGTCAAGCGGTGCACGTTGCCCTTGACCCAATGGTTAAAGAGTTCTCTAATCACTAACTTGGCCTTTGCCTGGGCAGGCAACGGAACGAAAACAGCGAACTTACTAAATCTATCTACTATAACCATCACTTGACTTTTACCATGCATATTCTTAACCTTTGTTTCCATGAAGTCAATCGACACGGACTTGCCGGGGCCTGACGGGATAGGCAAGGGCTTCAGCAGTCCTGAGGGAGGCTGTGTGGAACTCTTCTTCCAGTGACAGACTGCAACATTGGATATATGTGATACAACCGTGTTTCATATCGGGCCACGTGTAGGACAGGAGGAGGGTCACATATGTCTTCCTCCAACCAAACTGTCCTTCGGTGTCGTGGCATTCCCTGAAAATCAGACTACAAATCTCTTCCTCTTCATCACTTGGGATGCAAAGCGTATCGTTCACATCGGTCTTCTTAAACAGCGGTCCGCCGGCCATTCAGTAATCCGGGATTTTGTGAGGCGCGGTTTGTACTGTCTTAAAAAGACTCTTAATCAGGTCGCTATAGATGGGATCCTTCGGGTATGTGGCCTTAACTTTCTGCTGCAGGTCAGCGCCTACGTCTAGGTACGTCACTATAACGCCAAAGAAGTTTGTGCACCTACTCAAGGCGTCCACGACGATGTTATACTTACCTTTGACTGGCTTAAGTTCAAAGTCAAATTGGTCAATCTTCACGGCCCACCTGGTCAACTTAGGAATCATACGGGCCTGCGTTTTCAACTATCTGTCTCATCAGCAGAATACACTTTGAAGTGCCGACCTAGGAGATAATGTCTCCAATAGTCTACAACCTGTCTAAGTACGTACAACTCTCTTTCATACGTCGAGGCGGCGAATTTCTCACAAGGCAGTCTGCAGAACTTGAATTCGATGGGCCTATACCCCTCTCCATCATTTCTGCTGGAGTACGGCAACAATGCCATACTGGCTTGCGTCAGTCGTGACGATGAACGAAGGAGACAAATCTGCTATCTTGAGGACCGGATATTCGATCAAGCACTTTTTCAGCTTCTTATATGCGGAAGTGCAGTCCTTATCCCATTCCAAACGGCACACGTGGTTAACGGGGACCCCCAGTTTCAGCTCCTGACTAACAGGACCAAAACTGAAATTAGGGTTTGGGGGTCAACTTTTAGTTTTTTCTCTTGGTGGCAAGTTTGGTTAAAGTGGCCCTTGGATTTTGTTATAAATAGAATGACAAGTTGTCTGAAAATTAGGGTCTCCGTTAACCGTCTCTCTTTTTCAGCAATTTATGCAGTGGTGCAGCGACCGTAGTGAAATTGCATACAAATTTTCGGTAGTAATTGGCCAGACCTAGGAATAAACGCAATTCCATAAGTGTATGCGGGGTCGGCCAGTCTCTAAGCACTGTTATTGTCGCATCTTCCGGTCGAACCCCATCTCCAACTATAACGTGTTCGAGATACACGACTTGGCGCTTAGCCCACTTGCACTTCTTCGGACTTAACTTGAACTTAGCCTTGCACAATTTCCTCGGAATCGGATGAAGGTGTTCCTGATGTTCTTCTAATTTCTTACTAAAGATCAGAATATCGTCTAAGTATACAACAACGAACTTGTCTAACCATTCTCTAAAAAGGTCGTCATGCATCTCTGGAATGTGGCAGGGGCGTTTGTCAACCCAAACGGCATCACTACAAACTCGTAGTGACCATAACGGGCCCTAAACATCGTCTTGTGCTGATGTTCTGGCTCTACCTCTATCTGATGGTAGCCCGACTTCAAATCTATCTTTGAGAAATACTTACAGCCTTGCACCCTGTCCAACAAATCATTTATTCACGGTAATGGTTTGGCGTTCGTGATAGTGATCACGTTCAGCCCCCTATAGTCAATACACATACGCAGTCCGCCTCCTTTCTTCGGCACGAATAGGGCGACGGGCTAGGCTTAATCCACCCTTTCTCCAGCAGCTCATTGAGCTGCTTGCGCTGTTTGTCCAACTCTTTGGGGGACATTCTATACACGAGGCCCTTTGGAGTTCTACTATTGGGTTCGATCTCAATCCAGTGCTTAATCTCTCTTTCCACTACACCAGCAGGGCTCTCTCCCACGTCTGCAAACTCTTTCAATAGACTCTCTGCTTAGGGCGGTATCACCTCTTCTATTTGCTCTTCTTCACTTACCGGTTTGACATAGGCGACGAAAATGTAGTCAACCATATTCTCGTTGACGACGTGTCTGGCGAACATAGGGGAACTCATACAACAAAGGGACAAAGTAGACTCTATTCCAGACTCGTGGAACAACCGCATTTTCTTCTTCCCCCCGTCGGGACTGGGCAACCAGCACTCGTGCTCGCCCATGTTCACGTCGGCATACGCGGCATTTCCCCAATTTGTTGTCCCTAGAATGAAGTCAAAGGGCAGGTTGTCTTCCATTAAAAGGGCCAGGGAGTGCAACACTCTCTCAACTTTCTTCCCCACCTCCAATCGGAAGTATGCTTTGATCCCTTTGACGTACTCTTGTACTTGCATTTCACAATTATGTACCTGTTTACTTACGATGGGCTCACTCAACTTCTGCACCTTCATGCCGAGATGCAATTTCTTCAATCCGTTTTTACTAATATAACTACGGGTCGATCCCCTATTGACTAGTCTCTACATCCCACCTCTTATAGCGCATTGGCCGTGGGGGGGAGGTCGATGGTCCGCTGCGGAAAACCAGCGTGAAAATTCGCACGGGCCATCGGATGGGGCAGATC